GCAACACGTTTTTCTTACATAGCCTATAGTTGGATTACTGCCATCTTCTGGTGGTAAAGGCACAGAACCTACTAGTGAGCGCTGGTAGTAAGAAATACATAATGTAACACATACAAATTGTAGTAAAAATTTTAAAACTATATACAATTTAAGGTTTATTTGAAAAATTGAAAATCATGACCATTCCTAATGTGCATACCTGCATATAGTATAAGCATATTTTATAGACATACTCTAGTGTAACGGTAAAGGACTGTACAGAAATATGCAAAGACTTTGATAGTGCGGCATCTTGATTACCCAAAAGGGCCCAGTTGACTTTTAGCACTCCTGACAAGAGCTGAATTTCATTAATGAACATCAGATGACTTTGGGATTATTAGCTGCCCTGTGTATGTGTGTTAGAATGAGCGTGTGTATGAGTCTATGCCTGCCCTCCTCTGTGACTAATGTATCATATGCGGCGGCAGGGTCGTCTATAAATAACAGCATGATGTTCACTTACTAAGAGGGAGGGGTGACTCGTGTCTTGCAGATGGATGAACGGGTGGATGATGTGTGTGTGCGTGTGTGTTTTCTTGCTTTCTTTCTAAGCGGTCAGTTAAGTTTTTGGGTTTTTTTTTTCTTGAGCAAATCGTGTGCAACTCAATATTTGGCCCACACACTCGCAGAGCGCCTGAGGCTACGGTACACAGCAGTTGCACGCTACCCAGGCTTGTGCAGTGCCGTGGCTGATCTGTGTTTACCACATGCAGGATAGGTTGGGGTCTTAGTTCATACAACCTTGGAAAACAATAACAACACAGCTGTACTGCTGAGTGAGTGGGCATGCTTTGGCAGACCAATGTCAGATTATATCTGAAAAATAGCAGGATGGAGTTGGGGTGCTAGGTTGGCAACTGAGGCAGGTTTTCTCAGTCCTAAAGGGAAAAGATGACTATACAGAGAGGTTAACGGGCGACCGTGGCTCAGGGGGTTGGGAAGCATATCTGTAACCGGAAGGTCGCCGGTTCGATCCCCGGGCTCTCTGTCCTGGTCGTTGTGTCCTTGGGCGAGACACTT